ACGTTTCATTATTAAATACACACAATAGTTATAATATTGACAGCACATGATAGAAATAAAAACCACAGAATTAAACGTACACTGCAGACTATAGGTAGGTACGTAGTAACTAGGTGCCTAGTATTTGCATTTTTTGATAACCGTAAAATAATCCAAAAAATCTCGGAGGGAGGCTTGAACGTTTGGGGAAACCCAAGACCTGCGTAGATTTCAGCGACTTGTGCATAACCGGATGTCCGAATCGGCTTTAAACAATTGTTGTTTATGGTGCCAAGCGAGACACTCATCATATCGGTCAAGGCGCAGCTACGTACCTGCTATTACATAAAACAAATAAATATGCGATTTTGTCTCGATCGCAAGTTCAGCCGATCTTATAAATTCTGCAATAGCTGGTCACTGAATTAGTAATATATTTTAGTTTCAGTATAGGACTCGGGCAGATATTCACATACTTAGCACCCTCCCACAACTCGCAAGGGTCGTCGAAGTTGCATTAAACGTTTAAAATCCCATAGTTGTTGAAATAATTTGCCTAATATAAACACTTCCTACGTTCCAGAAATAAATTCCTATGAGATTTCGCACACGGACTAGCATCACTATGTATATTATATGTATAATGAATTGTATTATAAGTACCCACGCACTACACGGTCGTTCCTTATCTTCGGTTTTTTCGTATGAAATATCACGATAATAAATAGGTATGATATAAGATATTAAGTATAAAATAATAGTTATTATTGTAACGCTGACAAAAAAAATCAACGAAAATCGTCCTTAAACACAATACAGTAGACTCTCGTGGGTTTATAGAACAATTCTCCTTCATGCGCTATAACACTTAACTGGTTTTCGATATCTCGACGTTTTTATTAACTCGAGTTTTTCTTTTCCTTCTTGAACTTCGACTCTTCGACAGCCGACTGTGTGTAGGAGGTAATAATCGTTGACATGATACTACCAGCAGCAGTATAAGGTTATTATCATGACGTGTACAACTGATTATAATTTTTTACAGAAAACGACCTCTCCCACTTGTTGAACCGTGGTTTAGGCTTAATATATTATTATTATTATTAAATAGACGTGAAAAGAAAAAGAACACAGCACATTTTTTTACATATTATGTTTATATAGCTCGTATGTATAATAATATAATAATTTTGATTTATTTTAATCTCAGATACGGTAGAAGTGTGCAGGCACGGATATAGTATAATATAGGCACTTGCGTAATATTTAATAATAATAATAATGACTTGTGAATAAACAATGTGAAATTAAATAACAATTACGAACATAGTATACAATAATAACTTTACAATTTTTATGATTTTTGCCAATGTGTAATATTATGTACTTTACACACATTAAAAACAATACATACCTACAACTCCTAACAGTATAGTTATAAATTATAATAGGTATAAATGGTACAATATATATTATTATATTCTCGTTGTGCACAAAAATCGTATACAAAAAAAAATAATAAAAATAAAAATAGTCGTACTTATACAATTACGATATAATATAATAAACAATAAATACCTATAAAATAATATTGTAACAGCGCGTACCTATAAGTAAAAAATAAGGCATATATACATAATTATCGGAGTAAACGGTGGGTGGTGGCGGTATAATACACATAGGGTGATCAGTTACGTATCGAAAAAAGCCAATAGGTGATCAGTAACATATCGAAAATGCTTATATTATATCATAACATTTAAGTAAAGTACTAATAATAATAAATAATAGAAAACTTGCTTAGTGACTAGTCGAGTTAATTCGCGATTTCTGATGAACCGAAAATACGTATTATATTTTACCAACAATATACCTCTACTGCATCGGTGACGTACGTCTGTGTGATGATATAATAATATATGTCACGACGGTCGTGCGATTATATATCGAAATTGGAAACGTAAAGGACCGACCGGAAGTTCAAACTCAAAATAAATTCTCAATCGGCCACGGCCGTCATCGGTCGGATGCAGCTGATATCGACGGAAACGCAGCGACTTATTGATTCGCTTACAAAACGTACATATACTTTAGAATTTTAAATTCATCAATCTTCCCGTCCACAGCAGCTAAATATCTCCAAACGAAAACGATTCGTTTTTTTCCCCCCGTAATGTATTCCTAGAAAAAGTCGACGGGCAATTTATTTTTTTAACGTCGCACAATATTATACTGTTATATTGCTCAAACGTCCTATATTTGTTAAGTCTGTGATTTATAATATTAGAAGCAAGAAAACCGACCGACGAACACGAAGGTATAGGGTAGTCGTTCGCCTCACACAATTTACGCCCGCGATGTCGTCGGCGTTAACGATAATATTGCTTTGATAAGACGAAAAAACAACAACAGGTGTCTATAGGTACGTCGCGACGCCGAAATGTTGTTCCTCCAATATCTACAGTGATAAGCAGGGCCCGGATTTCAATGCAATGCTCATTATTTTTGGGTGTTATGGAACAATGCATTCCCAAGTTCATAGTTTGTTTAATGTAAAAGATAGGTACTTCAAAAGTGAAACTTTTAGTTTACGTTTTTTTTTAAATTTTTTAGTATTTTCGGGTTATTTTAATTATTTTTTTCAAAGAATTTAAAAAAAGTTGTTGGATCACCTGAATCCGGGCCATAGTGATAAGTTTGTCGTACCATCAGAAATCGCACGTGAAGGACAATTAATATACAATATATACTTATTATAAAATCAACAAATGTACGTCTTACAATCGTATACAATGCATTGTGTGTGAGAGGAGGACTAGTCGTAGTTCACTCATTATACTATTTATGTACATAATTTACTATTTAGCTGTATAGGAATGTCGAGTGGGCCCACAAAACGTTACCGTAGCATAATATTTCGGTCTCGTCGATTGACGGGAAGACGCGTCGTACATACGGATGGATATAGTGAACGGACTTGGGTAATATAATAATAGCTAGTTAATAGCGAAAATACGATTATTATAATTTATTTATTAAATATCTATATTGCATATATTATGATACGAACGCGAAAAAATTGTGCATGACCTAGAGTAATGCGTTTTTCAATCGTTGAACGTTTAGAGGGGCAGTTACCTAATATTATTATTACGTATAGGTTTATAATAATATAAATATTTAGTGAGTGAGGTGCGTGTTTCGAGCAAACGAGGTGGGTGTTTGTGTTCGACTCAGTGCGGGTAGGTAAAAAACACGCGATAAGCCAATCAAATAATTATTAAACGCTTGAAGACAAAACGCGTTTCGTTATATGATTAAACAATTTACAAGTGCTCGCCGATGGCATGACAAATAACAACGAGTGATAAAATAGTATACACGTAAATCATAATTTGCTGCTACAATATTATATAGTCGTATGGCCTTTTAATTGAATTTCTAAAATGTGACTAAAATCAGTATAACATTCCTAGACAGAAGCTGATCGAGATTATTATATAACGTCAACGTAGGGCTGAGTCGGTGGCGGCAGTGATCAGTTTATACGATTTAGATATTGTCAGGTCGAATCTTCAAGCATGCACCCCCCTCCCCCAATTTTCTCTAATGAAACGCATTTATTCAAATTATAGAAGTTTATGTAATTTTTATGAATCTGAATGATGGTTTGTTTTTTTTTTGTCTAAATATTTACCTGTCACTATAACTAAGAAACTATCGCATAGTATTTTTTATGAATATTTTAGATAAATGGTAGTGTTCAATTATTTTTTTTTTTAATGTAAAAGCTAATTCGATTTTGACTCCCACCATTGTACGGTATCAACATTTTAGTGTGCATCGAAAAGTATTATTTATATCCGAACAAATCTTTAAAATAAAAATTGTTTATTATATGAAAGAAATTCGCCAGGCGAGTGAATACATAAATTTTCTTTCGTACTTATATATCATCGTTGTTGTTATTATTTTTACGGTGCGTTTGAAGATCGAAAGTGCTGAAAAGTTTTTTGACCTAGCAGCAGTTACCATACGTGGACACATTATATATATATATATATATCATAATATGAGGCAGACTTACTCGTACTTTTGTTGTCCAACGATAAATCAAAAAATTTAGGTTATGAAATATTAAAGTAAAAAAAATTCTACGACCGATAGCGAAGGTCTTCGAAGGCTGCGCCTGGCTGTATATATATATTTTATCTTCGTGCTTATTCGTAAATAATGTGAGGATGATAATGATAATAATATTATAATATTGTATGGGACCAAGTTTTCTCTGCATTTGTTGAAATACTCGAAAGCACACCCAAAATCATTCATAGGGATTTATTGCTGACGGTCGAATGAATAATCTATATATATAAGAATCTAACTTGATTTTGGAGACGAAGGAAACCGGTTTTGAACCCTCATAAAAATAATAATAATAATTAACTAATTACCAATTATTTTCATATATTCACCGATAACGATGTCTGTTTCTTTTTTTCTTTATTTTATAATCGTTGACCTATAATCATGTACAAATGTAATAAAAAAAAAAAAAAATGTTTTTAATACGCATGCGCGCTCCCTTATTTATTCGATCGATGAGGTCGACATCTCTAACTCCAATCGTTCAGTCGTTTGTTGTATAGCATTACTAACAGATCTAATTTTTTTCTCAAGTGTTAATTAAATATATTATTTCAATAATAATAATAATTATTATTATTATTACTCCTATTACTCTATGCATCGTTTTCCATTGTGAAAATCGTTCAAATTGCATTCAGGCAATTTCATCGTATGCAATTCCAAATGGAGGAGAGAGGTATTTAATAACACCTAATACTTAATAACTGTAATTAATAATTCTATAAAGTGTACACCCACCTAATGATTTAAATATTTATAGGTTAATACAATGGCTTAATAGTTGCAACATGACCGATTTATTGGAACTCGAAAACAATATTCGTACGAATAATAAAAACTTTAGAGTGTGAAATTGTCACTTTGAAACCAATATGTTTTTTACTACACAGCGTAAGAGGTTAAGACCAAATGCTGAACCCACATTATTTGGTATGTGGTATATACATATACATTATTAAATAATATATCTGTTTATTATACTTCGCCTAGGTTTCACTACTATTTATTATTATAAATGCATATACTTTAGGTGATATACCGTTCAAGTGGGTAAAATTCCGGTCTGGCTATTTATACCAACCTAAGCATCCATATTATGACGACGATGATGTTTGTATCGGTGTAATGGATGTAATTTGTCAATATTGCAATGCAATGAAATTCAAAGGTAGTGTATACATTTTTAGAATTTTGAAAACGTTTTATATTATTTTCTTAATTAAAGGAGAATCTGCTGATATGTGTTGTTCAAATGGAACTGTTCGTATTCCTAATATCGATAAACCACCAGAACCAATGAAAACTCTTTTGGAAAGTTCAACAAGTATTTCAGAACACTTTTTAGAAAATATTAATAAATATAACAATGCATTTCATATGACCTCATTTGGAGTAGCAGAAACTATTGTCGAAAATTATATGCCTACATTTAAAATAAGAGGTTAAGTGTATCATTTAGCCGGGTCGTTGATGCCTTTACCAAATACAAATCATAAATATTTACAAGTTTATTTTATGGATGACGAAGAGGAACAAAGTGACGCGCGAATGGGTATTTGCAGTGGATTGAATAAAGGTAATTGTATTGTATCATATATTTGTTGTTTAAAACGTTTTAATTTACAATCTTACTAGAATTTTATGAATTGAAATATGAATATGAAAAATTCAATAATTTTAATAGAAACTTTGACTGGTTGCCATTTGGTCAGTTTTGATTTTAGAGCTATGGTAAAAAGGACCAAATCTACTTAAAAAAATTCGGTCTATCCAAAACAATCTTTATATTGTACCGTTTCTGTTTTGGCGGGTGAACGAGCACCTCGATCGGACCTTTATACTTTTATTATTTTGTTATCGGATGAAACTTTTAGCCAACGACGAGCACCGCAACAATGCGACATTAAGTGCCTGTACCTACCTATAATCGTTAAGTCTCGACGGTTCCGACTTTAAAATCGCGAACTTGTACGTAACATATATTATTATCATAACGACAGTGATTTCGAGATTTAGTAAAACGGTTTTAATGTCCGCGCAAATGGCGTTAGCCACATTTCGAAACGCATTGTGTGGATAGGCACCTAAATAAATACACGTGACGTGTGCAACGGTCCAATGAACCCCGCGTAAGGTCGTAAACTTTTTAAAATTAAATAAAAACGAACGAGTAAAAATTCAAAAAGACTAAAATATGCTATTTAATAACAAATAATAAAAATAATACGATAACGACGATTCGACTAGAGATGCGACTCGATGTCGGGACGAGACAATCGTGCGGCCGAGCTACAACGACAATAACTAAATATTATTACAAGTAAATTTATAATATAAACATAATAAATAGATTTTAAAATAGTTCGGTTGCCCATTGACCAATGATGATAAGATGTCCAACGCACTGAAACCGAAAAACTTGACACGTCACGCTACGGATAGATATAATATATTATGTGGCAATGGCGGGAATAGTGAGCTATTTCTCAAAAATTTATATTTTTCGTAATAAGGAGCTTACCGAACCACTAAATATATGGCTCGGGACCGACCCGTGAGTACTGTACACACTACACTAATACTGTACTTACTATAGTACGGTAGTTTCTTATCAAAATGGATGTTATAATATATTACGCCGACATTATCTCTAGGATAATAATATCCAAATATCTCCGATAGTTGCTTAAATCGTTCTATCCCAGGTGTCCCAGATAGTTTTCTGAGTGGTGGGGAGGAATACCTGTGATTTTCCTGTCTGTTTAATTTGACTGCCAGTCCACAACTCATCATCATAGGTCGATGGGCAATCACAATATACTATCTCAAACCGTGGTACAGTCACATACCTACTTACGATATACATATATGGTAGCTTATCGTTTACAATAATTTAAAATACTCGATAGGGTTTTAAAATACAATATTTAAGAATCGATACGAATTAATGAAAATATATAGTTTGTGGAAAGCTGCAGTCGGCGGCGGCGGTCATACAAAACTCTCCTTCAGATGATCGTCATCGACCTGCAGACGCGTCTTTACTCCGCGGTGACGGCCGAACAGGGCGGTGACTACTGCCGCGGCCGTGTTGGTGGCCGCGGTAACGTCGACGTGTTGCCTAACCGAACCGTTTCCGGTTCCGTTGCCGTTTCCTGTTCCGTTACTGCCGCGCGCCGGCGGTCCACTACACGACCGCGACAGCGTCGTGGTGAGCGTGCCGGTGGGCCGAAGCCTGAACACGTCCCGACGGCGCCCACGTCGTCTGCGTCGGCGCCCGCCGCACCCGACGACGCCGCAACCGCCCGAGCCGCCGTCGTCGTAACCGTCGTAACCGTCGTCGACGCCGCCACATCGGGACCGGCAGAGCTTGCAGAATCCGCGCCGGAACTTTGAGGACATCAGGTTGTACAGGATCGGGTTGACGGCCGAGTTCAGGTAGACCATGACCCGGGACGCGTACAGTATGATGTAGTAGTGCTTGAGGCCCAGGTCCAGGAACGTGTGCTCAGGCACCAGGATGATCCACATGGTGAACACGCGGAACGGGAGCAGACACACGAAGAAGGACAGGACCACGGTGGCCAGCATGAGCACCACTTGCCGGCGGGCGCGCTGGTTGCACGCGCTGTCCGTGCAGCTGGTGCCCGGGTCGGCCATCAGGTGCGCGGCGATCACCGTGTACAGGACGACCAGCACGAACAGCGGTACCACGAAGAACGCGCCGATGATGGCCACGAAGAACGCTATCGGCCAGAACGTGTTGGCCTTGGTCAGGCACACGGGCACCTTGGTGCCGTCGATGTAGTCCATTTGCGTGTATTCCGAGATCATTGTGATCGGACTGCGAACAGAAGAATAAAAACAAAAACAAAAACAAAAATATGCGATTGTGCTCTCTGATGATCGGACAACGACAGAAATAACGACAAAAACAGTAACAACAAACAGTAACAACAAAAATAATAAAATGATGATAATATAGGCAAGCGTGTGAGTGGGTGTTCTTTACATATTATTATATGATACAAGCCACATATAAGTAAAAAGCATAATAATTTAATATCGGTACGCGCACAGTCTTGTACCTACCTATATTTGTATCGTAATACCTATATTATAATTAAATAATTGTCTGAAGTGTTTGATTCATTTTAATACTATAATAATAAATATATTATCGTTTTTTTTTTTTTCAGACTTTGAATTTACAATTTTGATATTACATTGAAGACATCCTACATGGTATAACCGAGATAAATGTGACTACGAATAAATTATTGTCATTTTAATATTATGTTCCAAACTATGTTCCACGCATAACGTAGGTACTTTTTCGTTAATTATAATTATTTACAAAACTGATATATTACATTTATATATCTACTTATAATCGATATATAGAGATTAAATAACACTACGCAAATTCAGTATACATTTTTTTTCGGGGAGGGATAACATTTTTAACATTAAATTGCGTGGGGTTTTGATTCCACAAAACTAAAAAATTTTATTTTGGGGGGCAAGGTCCCTTAAATTTGTATACATTGTACGCGTATATTTGAATCAGTCAGTACTTCTCTAAAATAAAAATAAATTAATCTGATCGACGAAAACTGCAGTTTTCGATTTTACTTTGTCTTTTGTCAAAATGCGTATGCGAACGCCACAAACCGTGATTATTATTATTATTTTATGATATTTTTCGATTTCATAACAAAATATTATAGATATATTACAGTGTGTATGTATGGAAATCACGATCGCAATAAATAATAATACAACTATTTATACTTTATCGAATGACGTAATAGTATATGCGGTGATATTTTTATAAATGTTCAACTTGAACAAAGTGATATGTCATATGTCCGAGAATATATTCGATATTATTGTTTAGTTTTTTTTTTTTATGGGAACTTGACGTTAGAGTTACCGTATTTTAAAATATACTAAACAATAATATTATATAACTTTATCTTGATGTAATACTATGATTTTTCTCTTTTAATGTTTATTTTAAAATCCCGAATTTATTAAAATGTATGTTATTTAACTGTTAAAATTGTTTTTTTTAAATTTATTTTTAGGAGCCTCACAACAACATAGATTACTGGCTTTCTTTTATTTAACTAATACAATATAATTATGATAACACGGCGTCTTGGGTAGGCAATTTAGCTACATCACTTTTAAGCTGTTAATTAATTTTTCGGTATCTATTAAATATTATAAATTTAATATTTTTTTTGGTGAATCAGGTTTAGTTATAAACTATTGTTCAACATGTGTTCAGGTACCCTTCTGACGAAAATTATTTAGAAATAAAATGGTATCAATTGCTACGGAATTGGTGTTACTAGAAATACAAAATATAAATATACAAGCTGTGATAATATGGGAGTAAGTGGGTCACCTTGCTGATAATTCCCATCCCGTAAAAAATATTTTTATTGATTGTCAGGTTAGTAAATGACAATACAAATGTTTATCTACCTGAGTATTATTTCTATTTTCTTTGTCCGGTATTAATTACCGTACTATTTTGGTTGACGGTCGCTATAATAACTATTTAATAATGATAAATATATAATTACGATTTCACGTGGATAACAAGAAGACTGACGTGTTTTCACACAGTGCACTGTTATTTTATTATTATTACATAATATATTATGTAGCTGTGGTCAGAGAACGTGTCGGGCATTGCCGACCCTATACCTTAAAGGCCGATAAACATCGGTCGAATCGTATGTGTTTCTTATCTACACGAACCACGCACACGAAAACCTGACGATATATTTTCAGAATCATAATAATAATAGCTATATTATGTGTAGCGTTCCATTTATATGCCGGTCCGATACTCCAACCATAGTCGTGCGAAATCCGACTTTATAATAATACTAAAATAGACGGACCACCGCCCACCCTGAGGCTGAGAATCTCGATGGTTCGTATATGAGGAATAACCGTATTGTCATCAGACAGTGCGGTGGTGGTGGCGGGGCGGGGCGGGGTGAGTAAAAAATAGAACAAGAGCCCACTACCCCGGAGAAATAATGGTAAGAAATAAATAAATATATATTCGACTTTTCGACGGCGACTTTTTTTTTCATTAACAATATGCAAGACAATTCTTTTTTTTTCATATCATTTATTGATCAGTCAACTTCTTTTACATCATAATATCATATAGATACATCACATAGACATTATAATCAGTGTTAAACACGAATACTATACCACGTATACAACTATTACATATACATAACGATTACCATATTATTTATGTTATTTTATAACATTGTGATGTCATGTAAACTATTATGTTATTATCGTGTAAGACAGATTTGTTTTCTTTTGTTCAAAAATTTTAAGTAAGTTGATTTTTAATTACTTTGTGGACATAAGTGACTCGTCTGTGGTCAGGCGCACAGAAGTCGTAAAGCGATTTTTGAACTCAATGCAATGGCACCGCTTCAGCGGGTTAGTGGAAATTTCCACGTGGATGTATTTGATAAATTGATGAGATATGATAAAGAGAAGATAATTTACTGCAGATCAAATAACATTTTATACAATTTACAATCCGTGTGTGGGTAGAGAAACAAAAAGGTTATTCTAATCAGAGGTCAACCGCATATTATTACGTTGGTTAGCTGTTTGTATTTAAAGTAAGAATTACAATTTACAATTTGAACTAAGATATTTGGGAAAAGACCTAAACCTACTTTAGCAAAGTATCTGATTCGTTTATAAATGCTTTAATCGTTGAGATGACTAAATGATTTCTCTTTAATATTTAACGGTATAATATCGTATCAAAACGTCTGTTTTACTCTGCGACAACTCAATATCGGCGGTGATGTGTGGCGTGTGTGGTTTTTCCGGATGGATCCTCCGGGAAAACCGAGGGCTCAGAGACTCGCAAACAGTCATTTCCCTCGACTGGTGGTGGCGGTGGTGGTGGCGACAAGACGATGGCCGACAACCGGGCCCCATCGTAATTATTATACGGTCGTGAGAGGTTTGTAAAAACAGCACGATCCTTGCCGCCGCCGCCGGAGGGCTCGGAGCTTATTAAAAATCCCCGCAGGATTTAATTGGAAATATCGCAATAATATACACCGCGCCCCGTGTGCAATGTTTGCCCGCCGCCGGACCGATCGAAATTGTTTTATAATATGTATATAACGAAAAGCCTACACATATATATATACGCCTACATGCCTATATGACTATATACGCACACTGTTTAAACTTCTATTTAGGTATATATATTATGCTATACTATATCGTTGGGGTTGCGAAGAACAACAACTATTATACTACAACTACGTATGTGTTTGTGTACAGGGTGTTTGAGCATTTTTCGCGCACATACTTTGAGAACTATCTCCAAACACCGAAGTCGGCGTGTAAGTGGAATCGAAATTGAACTACACATGTATATATATATGGGTAGCCAGTTACAATACATATATATATATGTGTGCATGTATATGTAAGTACCCTTTAAAAGAGCCAAGTGGACAAAACCCAAAAGAGGTTTTCGATTCTATTCGTTTACGGTACATAATGGTCCTGTATTACCGTCCGGGAAAAAATGAAACAATTATAAAATCCATGGAAATTGTTATTAATGTTAGGTAGTATAATTATACTATTATAGAAGTATTTATGTGACGTATTATAGGGAGATGAAAGCAACAAAAATTTTTTTAATACAAATTTTGTTCAGGGCCACTATCGGACGTATCTCAAACTACTCTATAAACGTTCCCGGTATGTTTAAGGACAATCTCTAAAATGTTCGTTAAAATCGATCGAGTAGCTGTTGAGTCAATATAAAATAAACTACAACCATTTATATATTAAGATCTGTAAATCCGTTGCCATCAATGTTTTAAATTCATAGATTATTTAAAATGGCTGGTCAAATACCACGTTATACTCATTATCTATAGAGAGCAATAATATGACTATTTATAGCTTCGACTTGATAAATCAGAACATGCATTTGTACTCTGATACATTATTGGCTAGTCATTTTAGCATTCCAATTGTTGTGCAGACAATAATATAATATTATGTTATCTGTTATTATTATAGGAGTATCGAGTTTAGATTTTTAAATTCGAGAAAGACTACAATTAGTGTCCATTTACTGCTAAGGACAACCGTATTAAGGATTTCAACAATGCCACTGCAAAATTTAATGAAAATCTACTTTTCGTTTAGCTAGATGGCATGTAGGTACTTTACAATTACGTATCAGTTTACCGTCTGCTATAATAAATCATGTCCAAATTAATTATTATAATAAAACAATAACGGTTATATATAAATTCTTCTAAAATTACTGTAATACAATATTTCTATTACACACGTCATAATTATTTTTAAATTATTATGTATTATATTTTCTGCGAAAGGTACCTACATAAGTAGTTAAAGGCTAGGATTTATCAGTATTGATAGGTTTTTTTTTTTGAAATGCTATTTTACCAATTTAGTCAGTTATGTTAACGATTCACCTCATATTGATACCTACACGTAATAATCTTTGATATTATTTCGCATATTTTAAATAGAAACACAAACAATTCATGTTTTAGGGAATATTTAAACGATTAGGTGATGTAAAAGAATAGGTGCCATGTCATATTGTTAAGGTCCTAATTTCATTTTCATAAAATCGGTGATTTTGTCTTTAACGAAAAAAAGTAAAAAAAAATGTATAGAAAATGTTCTGGATTTATTTAAAAGTAAGAGTAACAAAAATGATTTAGCTTATACATAAAAAAAACTGTATGTGTAACAGTTTGGAAAATATTGGTA